CCAGAAGCTAAAAAGTCGCCACTATTTGCTGCACTTAAACATCTACAATTAAGGACAGGCACAATCTTTAATAAAGTCAGTTCTAAAAAGTAAACTATCTGCGCAGACTCATATGTCAAAATAAGTACAGCGCTACTAGTGACTGATCTCAAATGAACTTGCAATATCTCTATATTATTAAAAAAAAAGGTACTGTACTTAAATATTTTTTTTAACCTACATACAGCTGTAAAAAAATTGATATCTGTAATATTTCAAAATTTTATAAAGAATACATTTTTTTTAAATTATTCATGTGATTGCAACTTAAATAGCCTCAGGTACTGTATGGATACTTAAACAAAATATGTGCCGCGCTTAAAGCAATTTTTTTTTTTTTTTAAATGAAGAAAACAGCCTTCCTCTTCGACAGCATGAAGGCAACTCATCAAAAACTAAAAAATGTTTAGCTAACATCGTATCACCCTTAAATTTTAAACTTAACAATTTCTTTTGAAGTGACAACTGTGTTGCTAGACTTTTTCTTTCATATATGGAATCAAGTTTTTCAATAATTTGGCGAGCTCGTGCTTCTTCCGTAACGATACCTATCATTGTATCACTTAGACACTCAATGATAATACTTTTGGCTAAGCGTTCAAGTTTTTCCCATTTTCTATCAGGTTCCATCGGAGTCTCCTCGTCGATCACTTTTATTGCGTCTTCTTCTGCGAGTATAGCTCTTAAACGAAATTTCCAAATACTGTACCGTTCACCGTCAAATTGTCTAATATTTCGTCGGCTTTTATTGTTATTCATTATCACTTAAAGTTAATACCAACAAACAAACACAAAACCGAAAGTAGAACACCGTATTATTAAACTGGGCGCATAACCTATTAGATTTGTAATAGGAAAAGGGCATTCACAAATAAAACTACAATATAAATTAAATAATAGCAAAGAGCTTTTTATGTTTATTATATCGCAACAGCGAATAGCGAATGTCTTTTAACTAACTTATGAATATTTCTTTATCGGAGAATATGCATTTATGCTTTTTCAGCAGTTTCAGTTTTAAGAGACAGCATTCTTTGAATGTAATATGAAACTCTTATTTTCTCCTCTTTGTTTTCTAATAGAAACATAAACATATATATAGGGTGTATCTAATATGTCCCTTGTAATAAAACAATGTACTATTTTATATTTACTCCGAAACTATTTATACAAATAATTAAAATACATAACACCTCACCAGCACCCTATTTTAACCTCGATTTTAACCCCATTATGAGCACCGCCGCTGTCCAAATGCGAGCCGTGACTGTTAAGGTAATTAAAACTCGTGTCATGAATTTAAGGGCCAATTTGAATGTTGTTAAACAGTTGATTAGAGCGATATACAAGTGTAATGCGAAACCCGAGCTGCCACAGAACCACAATCCCTGTCTCTAAGATCGAAATTACAGATATGCGAAAAATTTTTGGATTAATATCTCGAGTGTGAACGTAGAAGAGAACGTTAAAGCGTAGAGAGAAAGTAGGAAAAAATATTAATTGGAGTTAGGGAAACTTGTTAAAACAATTTAATATAGAAAAATTGTCTGTAAACTACACAAATAATTAAATGTTTATTTTACGTATGAAGTTTATTAATAATAAACTAATGTTACACAAATAATCATTATTAAAACAAATGGAATAAAACAGTCTTAACAAAAGGAATCGACTGCATTCCTCAACGGTGTTCGATAACACTGATAGACACATAATTTGAAACATGAAAATTTTTAGGTGTTTCCAATGCAGTTTGTTACCTGAAGTCAAATCTGAAAACAGCATCACAGCATCACCCACAGATATTCTGTAACCTGCTGCTTTAGGTTTTACAATACGTAAAATTTCATTATATTGCATCATTCAAAGACATTACATCTAAGAGACTAAATTGTTTACATTTTTATGTGGCAAATCAATATTCCCACCAGATTCTCGTTTATTGCGTCTTTGCCGATTTTAACAGTCTGTCAAAATTATTTGGAGAAATTACTTTCGAAAAATAAAATTTGATGTGTCCTGTAACTATAATTTTATATTATATAAATAAAAATATGTTTTAAATCAAATTATTCTTTGAAGTTTTAATATAGGCTAAATTTTTTATTAAAAAATCAATATTAATCTAAACAAAATATCAGGGTTTCGAAGAACTCCGTAAATACGGCAACGCTGAATATCTTATTTTACGAATTTACAATTTTTCAGAATGAAATGTAGTACCGTAACCAGCCGCAACGTTGCCAATCAGGTCTAACAGCTATTTTGTAATTTCTGACAGTATCTGACAGTTTCTGTGTGACTTATTGATTTATTCATTTATAAAATACTATTTTTGTGAACTTTTGTGAGAAATATAAAGAATTATGGTACACGCATGTGTAGTGTTCAAAAAGGTAGATCATTTAAGTCGAAATGTATGGTTTCATCGGTAAGTATTTTTAGGTTAAGATATGTTGTTTTCATTTGAATCAGTGGAGTAGGGCTTGTACAAGATTTGATACAATTGCTTATAGAATTTAAATTATATAGGATCACATAGTAAATTGTTTGAAAAATGATTATCCAATCTAATTTTTCAGACAATTTACTGCAGGTTTGATAATATACAATTTAAATTGTACAAGAAATTGTATCAAAAACTTGTGTAGTCTAAAACAGTCTTAAAACAGTTTTTAAAGTGATATTCCTTTTATAAATTAGTAAATTTTTCTTATACCAATAAATAATTATTGAATAGTGGCAAAGAAAATTTAACGTAAAATGTAGAATACCTTAAAAATGATTTACCTGTTGAGCACCTATACGTATTTTTTTTACTCTATTTAGGTTCCCGCAAGATCCTGAGAAAAAACTTTGGTTTTCTCTAATAAGAATCCTTGAAAATCAGCCCCTTCGTAAAAACCCAGAGTTGTGTTTAGAACACTGTTTTCCTGAAAATGTTTTGGTACGCGCAAATGGTACTAGATATATTAGAAAAGATGAAAACTCCAGACAGTGTGGGGGCATTCTATTTCTGGATGATTTATCCAACAGGTAAAAATACAAAATATTAATTTTTTGTTTACCTCTGAACATTATTTATTACCTATATGTATGTATATCTAATGAATGGGTTTTTAGTTCTGATTCAACTATTTTTGGAACACCACCTGCTGCAAAAAGAAACGTTGCAGTAAGTTATAACATTAATAACTAAGCATAAAAAAATTAAATTAAATTTTAGTTAATAAAATTAAAGTATTTTATATATTTAAAACATTATTTTAAAAATTTTTAGAGTTTTTTACGATATTTTTTGCCATACCATGTTTTTTTGTAATTATTAATTAAAAAATTATATATTTTTAGGACAGTGTTTTATTTAAATACCCCTACCTACTTAATGTTAATTTAAAATTTTAAATAATTTTGGTTAACATCATACCAGGCAAATATATAGTAAAAGCCAATAAACTATAAACCAATAAATATTAAAAAACGAAAGGTAACTTGAATTCGCTTGTATTTGAATTTACTTATACTTGGATTTACCTACATGAAAAATCAGCAAGTATCATGCAAAACTATTGTCATATACTCTGAAGGCAATTCTCTCACCAGAAATCAAATCACGACTGGTGAAAGACTGTCTAGAAGACCTGACAGAGCTAAGTAGTTAAAATAAGGTGACCTTAGCCTGGGTTCCAGGCCATGAGGGATATCAGGGCAACGAAAAGGCCGACGAATTAGCCCGAGGAGGCTCAGATAAGGCCATGACAGGCCCCGGACCCTTCTGTGGAGTTGCTAAGGCATTGTGCAAGGCATCCATTAAACAATGGATGCAAACAGAGTCTCAGGAATGGTGGAACAACTATCCAAGACTGAGACAGGACAAACAGTTCATCAAGGAACCATCGGCCAAGTTCACGAAAGACCTACTGGATCAAAAGCGTCAAATCGTTAGGATAACAGTAGGCCTTCTTACTGGACACTGTCGTCTCAAAAGGAACATGAGTGTCATAAATCCAGCAGAAGAAGCAACTTTGTGCAGGTTCTGTGAAGAAGAAGAGGAAACAATATTCCACGTCCTGTGCCAATGTGAATGCCTGGCTGGTACGAAGTTTCTAACATTGGGCGAAGAAAAGCCAATTGCATGCAACTACATGCGGGAGCCACTGTCAAAGCTACTAAGACTAATAAAAAAGACCAGGCTAGACGACATAATTTAAAACAAACAGGAGTCCCACAATAGATCTGAAAAGGTCGCGGTGGACAAGGACAAATAACGTCCAACTCATAATCTAATCTAATCTAATATACCTACATATTTACGTATTTTTTTAACATACTACTCTGATAATACTGGTAAGTTTAAAACTCTACGCCACTGGCGAGCATATTATTGACACTGTTTACAACGTTGCCAGCCGGTCATAAGAGATCTGTCTTTCTCTCTTCCACTCACTAATAATTTTAAAACAATAACAGTCCGCAATTGTATGGGATTTATGAATGAAACATTTTGTCTATATGTTGTAATGTCTTTGGCATCATCTCATATTTTCATATGATCTGGGATCTATCCGGTTTAGACCAGTTTCTGCATGCTTGTTTTACGATCATTTTATTTTAAAAAAATTATCAGTAGACTAACGGTATCCGAATCGGTTACTTTTTCTGTGTTTGGAGAGCAAAACGTTTTTGAGTTCACATTTTTTACGTTTTGTAAATTACTGTGTTTAAAATTTTAAGGTACAATGCCTAGGCAGTGCGTAAATAGTGCCTACAGTTTTTGTTATATGTGCGGAGAACTAACTGTTAAATCGCAAAAACGTAATTTTACTCCGCTTGTGCTAAAAACTTACGAACTGTATTTTGGTGTTAAAGTTGGGAACCAACACAAAGCATGGGCCCCTCATATCTGTTATAAAACTTGTGTAACATTGTTAACAGCTTGGTTAAAAGGTTCAAATCCTAAAATGCCCTTTGCAGTGCCAATGGTTTGGAGAGAACCTAAAGACCATGTTACAGACTGCTATTTTTGCCTCACGAATGTTAAAGGTATTGGACCGAAGTCTAAACATACGGTTAGGTACTGTAATTTACCATCAGCTTTAAGACCTGTCAAACACAGTGAACAATTTCCTATTCCAAAAGCACTAGAATCTTGGAGTCTCGATGAAGAACTAGAATCGACTGGTTCTTTAGGTGATGTTACAGAAACCGCAAAGGAAATGACAACCGATCCTTTATTTGATTTACCAGGATGTTCAACAGCGCCGCATCTAATTTCACAGGGTGAACTTAATGACTTAGTTCAAAATCTAAGCCTTTTAAAATCGCAGTCCGAATTTCTAGCATCCAGACTAAAAGGTTGGAATCTTCTCCAAATTGATGTTAAGATTACTTTTTACAGAAAAAGGCAGAAAGACCACACAAATTGCTTTTTTCAAAAGCTGATCTAGTATACTGTTCAGTTAACCTTTTGTTTAACGTACTAGGACAGAAACATGATCCACGTGATTGGCCTCTATTCATTGATTCCTCTAAACTTAGTCTAAAGGCGGTGTTGGTTCATAACGGTAACGAATATTCATCTGTGCCCTTAGCTCATGCAGTTAATATGAAGGAATCATATGAGAATATGAGAGTTTTTTTAGAGTACATCCGTTATCAAGAGTATGGTTGGGCAATATGTGGAGACCTAAAAGTAAAAGCCCTTCTTCTTGGAATGCAACTAGGATATACGAAATATTGTTGCTTCCTTTGCGAATGGGACAGCCGTTCGAGAGACAGTCATTATGTACAGAAGCAGTGCACAGTACGTCGGGCACTAACTCCGGGTCAAAAAAAAGTTACCAATGAACCTCTAGTTGATCCCAAAAAGGTATCACTACCACCTTTATATATTAAATTGGGTTTAATAAACATTTTGCTAAGGCAATGGACATAAATGGAAGAGGGTTCTTGTATCTGAAACAAACATTTTCAAGAATCAGTGAAAAAAAAAAGGGCATATTTGTGGGTCCGCAAATAAGAGAAGTAATAAAAGATAAAACATTTGAGGAAATGCTCAATGAAACTGAACTACGAGTCTAGAGTGCTTTTAAAACCGTTGCAAATTTTCTTGGAAATGTAAAAGCTAACAATTACAAAGATCTTGTGATAAGATCTTTTCACCTTCAGATAAAGTGTCAGGTAATTTTTATCTTCCAAGTGACTTAAAAAGTAATCTTTTCACCTTTAATAAACTTCTAAATGATAAATTATCTTATTTATGAAATTTCTGATAAAATACTTCACTGATGGATAAGCAGGTAGTTACATGATCACATAAGGTTAAAAACTACTGGATACCTACCACACATATTATTTACTTGAAAAAATAGAAAATTAATTATCTGACAGACAGTAACTTTCAGATAATATATCCGTCAGTTAGTTATCTGGAACTTTATCTGAAGATGAAAAGACTGACCCTAAACTACTTACTGCCTATAAAGAAATGGGTTGTAACGTGGCCCTTAAAATTCACTTTCTGGACTCCCATCTGGATTTCTTCCCAGAAAATTTAAGGGCGGTAAGTGATGAACATGGGGAACGGTTCTACCAGGACATTTCTGCTATGGAGAAACGGTACCAAGGTAAGTGGAGTGCCAATTTGCTTGCCGATTACTGCTGGACATTGTTAAGGAATACTCCAAAAACAAAATATCGCAGAAAATCATCGACAGTAACATTTTAAGGTACTCTTTGGTTAATAAAATAATATAACAATAATATATCTATCGCTGTTTTCTTAAAAAACAAAAATACCTCATAGCAAAAAACTATAGGTGATAGAAGAAATCTGTAGCTATTTTCTGCTTTTAAGGCAATTTTTACATAATAAACATTTTGTTTTGTTTATGTCACAAAAACAAGTGAATTTTTGTTTACCAGTGTAATCTACCCATCCAAAAATTGGTCCCACTATAGTTAAACGACCCTTTTCTGTCGACCGTCGTGTTTATGATGTTTTTTTTTTTAGATTACAGTCGGCCTACCTGAAAAGAAACAAAGAAAATATATTAATTAATAAATTAATAAATATGAGCACAAATATTTCTATTCGTCCTCGGCCTCACTAGTCTTGCTTTGCGAAACTGTAGTAACGAAGTTTCATTTTGTCTAAAGGACAAATGCCCGTATAAGCTGTCATTCAACGTTCGGACCCTGGCAGTTGGTCAACTACGTACCAATCATAATCAAGTACTTTCGAAACTGGGAAGGGGCCTCTATAATAAGGTTCAAGCTTTCTGTTATTGGAGCCTTTATTTCCTTGTATCAACACATGTTGGCCAACCTTAAATTTTAGTAACGGAGTATGCCTCTTATCGTTATATTGCTTCTGCAGAAGGTACTATTTTCGTTATTTGAGAAACATCATCTCTCAACGTCCTTAGGTCTTGCCGTTTCTCGCATGTGACCTCTGACGTAAGAAATGCGTCAATTAAGCCACAGGGGCGATAACCAAAGAAAACTTCATAAGGGCAGGTTGTACAATAGGCAGTTAAAATGTAATCTTAGTTTAACCTGTAAACCTCATTGTATAATGATCGGTTACTATTAAATAGAGTTTTAAAAATGACATTTGTACGGTAAATAAAACCAGTTAAAAATTAAACTAATAGTTAAACTGAGTTTACATTATTCTTTGTACAACCTGTCCTAGGCGATTTGCTGGTGGTGGAATTAACCGTCGAATTAATTTCAAACGTAGCCCAATGGATCAAAGTAGTACATACTACATGTTTAACACCTAAAGTTAAATACACTTGTTTAACATCTAAAGTTAAACATACCTGTTTAACACCTACAGTTAAACACACATGTTTAACACCTACAGTTAAATATACCTGTTTAACACCTAAAGTAAAACATACTTGTTTAACACCTAAAGTTAAATATACTTGTTTAACACCTAAATCCAAACATACTAGTTAAGCAGCTAAAGTTAAACACACTTGTTTAACACCTAAAGTTAAACATATTTGTTTAACAGCTAAAGTTTAACACCTTAAGTTAAATACACTTGTTTAACACCTAAAGTTAAACATTCCTGTTTAACAACTAAAGGTAATTACACTTGTTTAATACCTAAAGTAAAACATACCTGTTTAACATCTACAGTTATATACACTTGTTTAACACCTAAAGTTAAATATACTTGTTTAATACCTTAAGTCAAAGAATACCTACCCAAGAAGCGAAACTGAATGAGTTTTCGTATGTACCAAAGCAAGGGAACTTAAAACACTGGGAAACGTATGAAAATTAATTAGTTTTTGTCGTTTGGTTCATAAGAATTAAACACATACTAAAGTAACAATGTCAGACAGACAATTCGTACTATGTTCATTATGTCAAATAGATTATTTTAATAACGAAATAAGTACTGTAGGTACAATAATACACAATAGCGAAAGCAGATTACCTAGTCATTCTGCAAATTGGGAATTTTAAGAACAATTATGGAACAGTGGTGCAAAGACCATTCACTGTATTAATTCCAAGAAGACAGAAATAATTCTTATCACAAGGAAAAGGATGAAAATGGAATTAAAACCTACACCTAAACCTAAATACGAAACAAAACTTTTGCAACAAAGGTGAAGTACCTGGGAGCACCTTTGATAACAAGTTAACATGGAATTCACACTATAAAGGAGCATACATTACTTATAAACAATTCCACTGAACCGTGAGGCGCACCTGCGGTTTGTCCCCCACAGTCGTCACATTGACTTACATGGCTATCATAAGACCTATGATAACATACGGTGCAGTTGTCTGGGTACCGAAAATCCAAAAATTAACAGCTATCCGCAATATAGAATACAATAGAACAAATTCAAATTATAGCATGTCTCAATATAACAGGAGCCATGAAAACCACACCAACCAGAGACATGGAAGTCGTTCTTAGTCTCACTCTCCTTAATATTTACATCAAAGAGGTTGCTCTGATAACAATGACACTCTTCTGCACGGTTGGAATAGAACTTGATTGATGTATGATCTGGTAAGGCGAGACGTCGCTTTTGGCAAAAGGCGCTCGATACGCTCCCACTGCTTCAGGCGAATATGAACTTCATCTCCCCGCGATATATATTACATAAGCCATATGAAGTTATAACAACAAATAGAAGAGCCGGAAGTGGCAGGTACAATTTATGTCTACACCGACGGTTCTAAAACAAAACAATGCTCAGGATGTGAAATATACTCCAATTACTTAAACCTCAACATAAAGCAATAGTGCTAATGTAGTTCATGGAGCTCATGGAGATTCTCATAGCAGCAAAAAAATCATCAGAAACAATATCACTGGTAGGAACATGCTTATCTATACAGATAGCAGATGAACACTACTTACCCTGAACAAACTACGAATTTACTCAGAGTTAGTACTAAAATGCCACGAAGATTTGGCAAGAGTATCCATCCAACAAAGTAGTCACCTTAAGATGCCACATCGAAAGGTAGCCTTATTGCTGATTTACCATCCAAGAAGGCGGCCAAACAAATCCTTTTTGGACCTGACCCTTCTATTGGACTGACAACATCGGTAGTGACAGACCTAATTAAAGAATATTCCCTTGTGAAATTGAAGGAAAGATGGGATGAAACAAGAAACTGCTGAATTACCAGGGAGCTTTTAAGTTATCCTGACAACACTACAACAAACAAATACGACTAGACAAAATCTGCGTCTGATCACAGGCATTATGACTGGTCATTGCCAAGTACGAAAGCATCTCCACATAATGGCGATGTCAGAATCCGCACCCTGCAGGGGGTGCGAACAAAAAGATGAGATCATTGCATTGAACATATCCTCTACGATTGTCTGTCGCTCTCATTTATTAAAAGATTTGTTTTCGGCGAGTATTGGCTAACACCGGCCGATATAAGAGAAGCACCTTTTGGCGACGTTGTCAACTACATTAAATCTGTAGGCTGGCTTACGAGCTAGGAGATGCCTATCATTTTAGGAGGATACACAATGGCCCTAGTGAGGCGTAAGTGCCGTGGGGTATAGCACCCTCTACACGTTACATATCTAGAAGTACTGTAGGTAGCTGTAAATGCATTTAGATTGTATTCTGATAGCAGCGACTTGGTTCCTCGAAGTGAGTTTCTCATATATTTTAATTATTGTTTTGTATTATTGTTTATTTACTGTTTTAATTCCAATGGTTCGAAAAACAAAAAAATAACATATTAAAATAAAAATTATCATTATAGGTAATACTTATTTAGAAATAAAAAAAAAAACATTGACAGCCAGATGCAAAAACGTTCAATAAAATTTACGAATAAAGCAATGTATTTTTTTGTTTTCATGTAATACAAATTTTAAAACTTTCTAATTACTACTTAGTTAAATACAACTACTTAAAGAGTACCGCAATTTTCACAAAACGCTAATAATAATATACCAAACGTTGCTCTACATAAATGACAGCTATATTTGACGTTAAAGCACCTCTAAAACACTGAGAAATCTTTGCAGTTTTTTGTCCACGAATCGCCCATTTAGTTTCGCTTCTTGGGCCGGTATTCTTTGCTTAAGTCAAACATTCCTGTTTAACAACTAAAGTTAATTACACTTGTTTAATACCAGAGATAACAGAGATATAAGAAGTCATTCATAAAATATAATATTCATGGTGCCAAGAACCGTTCGCACTCAAAACATTCTATTTCTAGACGCGGGGCGAGGCGACGAAAGGTGAGAAGTAAAAGAAGGGATACAGTGAAGAATTTTACATAGTTTTATCAATGAATTACTGCCCGAGCTTTTACTACTTAACGTAACTTTTCTTGCCGGTGTAAGCCCTGTTGCCACTTCCAATCTAACATCACTAGGTTTTGGAATTTGTTGAAAATTATTACATCTAATTTAATGAAATTACATCTAATTTGGTTAAAAATGCCTATTTTTTGTTCTAATGCTCAATTAAGTCTTTGTAGGAAGTATTTTTTTATAATTATTTAAAACAAATCATTTACATTAGCCCTTATGATCGAAAAAAAAATTAAATGTCTCAGTTTCAACCGTCTACAAATTTGTATAAAAAATCTTCTTTTAGAAATATACCTCTTATTTGACGAAAAACGAAGGCCTAAATGAAAAAAAACTATTCTTTATAAAAGTTTCGCCTATGTATTGACAAGGTAAAAGTACTTTCCTCATATTTGTTGCTTTTAAATTAACAAAAATATAGCAATAAACCATTAGTGATGTCATGGTTTTACTAGAAAGCAAACATTAAAGGCAGAGCCTATCGACTCTTTATGCATCTATCTCAGTATTGAAATGTATACAATCAGTTTGACCCCTCTTATATTATTTTATACAGGGATTATTGATTTATCCACCATGTTTAATAGGGTGTAATTACTTCAAGATTTTTTTTTTATTTTTAATGTAAAAGGAAAATAAGAAAATATGAACTATTTATTAAAGGTATTTATTGAAGTATCAATTATAAACAGTAAGGCTATTGCTTTGCAAAATACAATAAATCCCCAATATAAATAAATTATAATAATAATAATAATAATAATAATTGGAAGGAAGTATATAAAGCATAAATTAATAATATTAAAATTTATAATTACAAGACTTTCAAACTAATCAGAATCAGATTCACCACACGAATCAACATTTTCCAAAACATTAGCGGCTGTGCAGTTTTTCTGTGCCATACAGGTGCAGGAACCGATACAGTAAATATTTTTTTTCCTGCATTTGCAAATTTTGCTTCCACAGTCTAGAACAGAATATTATTGTTAGAATATTGTATAGTATGTTTTTTGCATTTGCATGATGTAAGTTCTGTTATGTCTGGTGGCAGGTCGGGCAGAGTCTTAAAAGTGGGTATCAGACTTCCATCTTGATCTACTTTCCATCCATACTCTTTAACATTAGGAAGCTGCATCTGGGTTTAAAGAGGTTAGCCAAATATTTAGCTGGTAAAAACATCTTAAACAATGTAGTCTTAGGGCGTCTTCAGTCGGTGGTAATTTAGCGATGGTTTTTGAAGAGGTCAATAATCCCCTCAAAATGTTAATGAAAGTAACATTGGCAGTTTTGAATACATTTTTAGGAAAATTCTTGGATTAGAGAATATGTTTTCAGAGTACTCATCACTGCCAAATCCATCCAAAAAGTAATGGTTTTCGAGGTAGGTTTTCCAACAGGTTTTGTTCCCAATGCCGGACAATTAAATGGTTGTATCACAACCGGTCAGAATGAAAAGCAGGCATATTTTTTAGAAGGTTTTCATCCAAATTTAAATAATGTACTGCTAGAAATCGTCTTGAGTCTCCTCGCCTTGTTCTGAACCATATATCTTTAGTCAAAAACTTCTTAAAATAAATTAATAAGACATCTGTATCGTTGCAATAAATAATGCAGCGTGAATGCACCGAATTTTTGGCTGACAATATGTGCAATGAGATACGATTATTAGCGTCTTCGTGATTTGAATTTAAAAAAATCGTTTTTTGATGGTTCAAAATTCTTTCCATATTTATTGATTTTCGCGAATCCACCACTAGTTAGAAATTGAATATGCTTTTGCGGAATGGAGTTTTGAAGAAGTTGCTCTGGCAGAAAATGTGTTAAACGTCTTTTGTTAAATATCTAATGAATAAACAAGTTCTATTGTTGCGGAAGTGGAATATTGGGTCGGTCAATTTCTATATCAATTTATTTCTGAAATCCTCTCTTTTGACGTGTTGTATTTTTGATAGAATGTCCTTTATAATGATCAAATACCACATCTATCATTTGAGCATTAAATTTATTTCTAAAAATAATGTTTACAAATATATGAGCATATTCTTTAAATGATATGCAACTTTTGGGCTTTCCTATTTTGATATCATTTTTGTCTCTGCTACTTGCAGCAACAAATCCGTAATTAAAATTTTAAACGAAAACTTATAACTTACCCAAATATATTTAGCTGCAACAGGATGAATGTAGATAAAATAAAGATGCAAAAATGTCTATATTTTTTCCCAATTTATTAGGTAATTTAATATATAACACATACACTTATTAATTCTTTAGTAAAAACAGATAACAATATGACACATTGCCCTATGGAACATAACAAGAAGTTTTATAATAAAAAAAATAAAAAATCCTACCATATCAATAATGTGATACATCAGCCCGCACGTAGAGAGAAACAGAGCTATGCTACGTTTGAAGGTGAAGAGAAAGATACACTGAGAGTCGATAAATTTGACGGTGAGAATTAATTACAGCATAAACCTATGACATCTCTCATCGTTTATTGTTATATCTTTGTTAATTCAAAAGCAAAAAATATAGTGTTTACTCTGTTATCTTCTCAACACATAAGCAAAAATTTTATAAAGAATGTTTTTTTTTCATTTAGGCCTTCGTTTTTTGTTAAATGAGTGGTATATTTAAAAAAGACGACTTTTTAACTAAATTTTTGAAGGGCTAAAACCAAGATATTTACGTTTATATTTTTTTTCGGCCGTAAGTGCTAATGCAAATGATTTTTTTTAAATAAGTATAAACAATTACTCCCGACAAAGATTTTATTGTGCATTTGACCAAAAAATTAGTATTTTTTTCTCTATTCGGTGGTACCAATATCTGGATTTTTGATGATAGTGCCCTTCTGCACAGTCTAATTTTGTATTAACTCCGGAAAAAGGGTTACCTTATCATGACCTTTCATCTGTGAAAAATTCAGCTATGTGACAAAAGAGTGGGAGGTGAATCGTTTTCTTGAGCGAATATTTTAATACATACACTTTACTAACAATGACAACAGCGGATATTATACCCACAATATATTGTGATTATACCCTACTGTGTCCCTTAGAATATGTCTTATTCACGGCCGCACGATATTTGTTAATAGTTACATCTCCTGGTTATCTCTGTTTAATACCTAAAGTTAAACATACCTGTTTAACATCTAAAGTTAAATACACTTGTTAAACACCTAAAGTTAAATACACTTGTTTAACACCTAAAGTTAAACATACCTGTTTAACAACTAAAGTTAAACAGTATTTTTTTAAATTATTTTTTATAAAATCAGTGTCACTGTCACAAATAAAACTGCGGTATACCCCGAATATTTATATTACGTCATCTAGAAATTGCAGTACAGGCACCGGCCCCGTTTTTGTATTTTTGTACTACTTTTAAAAAAAAAAAAATTTCGTAAATTAACACCTAAAGTTAAACACACTTGTTTAACACCTATAGTTAAATATACTTGTTTAACACCTCAAGCCAAACATACCAGTTTAACAGCTAAAGTTAAATACACTTGTTTAACGCCTAAAGTTTAATATACTTGTTTAACACCTAAAGTCAAACATACCTGTTTAACAGCTAAAGTTAAATGCATTTGTTGAACACCTAAAGTTAAACATACATGAACATACATTACAAGTTTGCTATCGGTTAGTGTGATCAACATTTCCATAACAGTAATTTTAGTAAACTGTCCTAAGTTAGTAGCGAAACAATACTCATTAAGTAATTTAGAACGCTCAATGCTATTTAATTCTAAATTAGTTTGTTTTTAAAGATCTAATAATGTAAAATTTAGTAAAACAGGAATATTTGTTTCT